CATTGAAATTCCTAATCGATGTCGTGACCTGATCCCTCCCCACTTCTTCTATGGATAACTAAATATGTCATCTCTCCCTATGTACCAACATGGGTTATACAACCCAGAGAGATATCATAATTCTACACAAAGGAAAGATCTAAATCGAGGTCTAATTGGCCTATACAAATGTCTGAACCAACAACAACCTTTCCCCCTTGATGTTAAACAATACTGATAAGATAATGCTAAACCAACGTTTGATCCGCATTTTTGAACTTTGCTTCCATAGTTAGAGGATACCAGGCTTGATCTTTCTTCAGAGTGTATTTGGCTGATCACTAGTGCTTAAAAACATAATCAGATTGATTCGGCCAATCCAAAGGCATTCCATCCGCCATAATGAGAGAAGTTCAATTTAGAATATTTTGAAAAAAGACAGCCACTTATTCTCAGTCACTATCCCCCGTTCTCTTCGGTCGTGTTTCCCCTTGCCAACATTGCCTTTGCTCTCCCTCTGCATGCTCTACTGGTTCAGCAATAGATAGTTCCCTATACAACTCCTCAATGTGGTTGGCAAGAACTTCTTGTTTGGTGAATTGCACCCTCTCCCTATGGTCTTGTGCATTGTCCTCATGATAGCACTCAAGGAAAGACTCAAATTGTAGAGAAGAACGTGACTCACCCATAAAAGATGGCTCTGATATCAATAGTGGCATTCCAAAGACATGGATCTACCGAGAGGTTCTTGTACAATGAAATCAGACAAAGAAGACCAAATTTTCTCTGGTTTTTCCTATCACCAGCCATAAGCCTCAGAGCTTTCAGGAAACACTAACTCCTAGTCTAACCTTCGTTCTTCTCCTCCAATTCTAGGATAAACTTTATACATCCTGTCCAGCCTGGGAGACAAGATCTAATCCTCTCCCTAAATGAACTATCATCCATAAGATGACCTCTATAACCTAAAGGCTTCACAATGACATCTTAAGAACAACCTAATCTCCAAACTAAAAAGATAAAAATATTTTCTTTTGATAGAAAAAGAAATAAAATTAATATAGGGAGAAAAAGCATTACAGAAAGAATCCGCAGATAGAAACTAATACAAGAATAACAAAAGAAAAAGAGAAAGAAAGCATCGAAGAGCTAGCAAATCACGTAACTATAGCATCCCAGTTCCTATAAAGGACAGTGAGGCAATGTCAGAACATTGCTTATGAGCCTTGGCCCAAAGAGAAGCCAAGAAGGTTATCTTCTTCAAAATAAAATTTTCCTGCAAAGATCTGTAGTAAAAAACTAGCCAATTCCTTTCTATCCAGATAGTTCAGAGACTAGCAAACGGAGCTCTCTGCCACAGTGGTCTGACCTTTACCTTAACCCGAAACCACCAATACTGGTGTTGCTGAAACAATCCAAAAAGATAAAAACATAATCTATTTTTTGACTCTATTCTCACTGAGATGGAGTATATCGCATGTTTCACCTCCCCACGTCCCCCGATACCACATCAAAAATTTTTTTTTCTATCATCAAGAATTTCTTGAAAAAGAAAAGCACCATGTCCAAAGGAAGCAGCAAAAGTGATCACAGGTTTTAAAAAAAATGAAGTTGGCTATAGATAACGCAACAACCCAGTCAGTTAACCAGACTAAAGTTCAGTCTTGACGATGAACCAGTAATTTCATAACATTTTAAATAACTAAAAACTGAAATTGGACTTGGACTTGGAATAACCCATTTAAGATAACTGAAAACTGAACTGGAATTTTCAGTTACCCATTTAAGATGATCAAAAACTGAACCAATTTATAACACCTATATTTTTATCAACCAATTTTTCATGAGTTCTTTTGTCAATTTAAATTTGAATTTTAGTTGTTCACAGTTTATTTTGAGCTTTAGAATGATACTTTAATATATATTTCAATTTTAAGTCATTCATAAAATGTTAAACGACAATTACAATTATAAGTGACAAACAAAATAATATTCAAACAGACATTAATTCATTTCAAATATTCTACTTCAGCATATAACTATCACACAACCTCACTACATTGTGGAATAACATTAAATACATATACATGTAGTATATTAATTTGAATATAGTATTATAAGTTCTTCACCTATAATTTCTATTACGTAAAATACAATGAGCTAAAATATGATGGAAATTTGAAAATACTAACTATCAATTATTTTGGTTAACTGATTTTCAAATTTACTAACCGGTAGCCAAAACCAATACTTGATTTTTCAATAAGTGCTAAATGAAACCAAAACGGACAAGTATGTAACTAAAATCTCAAATCTGAAGGGTTCTGTTCGATTAATTCAGTAAAGCAAAATAACAAACTCCATTAAGTTTAGAGAAGATTTCCTCTCTACGATTCGGTGCTCCAAAGTAGGATAAAGAACCTGAAATTCTTTTTACAGTAAAGTGATCAATATTGAAATCAAGCCTGTAATACAGTCAAAATAAGTTTATATACTGCAGCATGAAACTGATTGCAGTACGAGCTGTTTCTGCCATATGGAAAATGAATAATTTTATGCATACCATAACATAATTGTACCTGCTCTAAGGTCAGATTAAGATCTTTTGCAATCTTCTCACACTCTCTAAATGGAAGCTTCTGATTTTTATTGTCATTAAATATACGCTTTAAGAGCTCAGCACGCTGATCAGCTGTCATTACTCGAACTGAGGCCCATGACCGATAAAGAAAAACCTGTAAGAACTAACTTTGAGGCAGATGGTCCCTTGTACTTGATAAAACAGGTAATATTTATCCAAATAAAGATAAGGCACAATTTACATAGCAAAGGACCTGATGCCACATAAATATTGAATTACACCACGCAACTATCAAGGTCTCTTCTTGTAAATGACATCATGTATATTAAGTTTGACCGAGAAAATAAATCATCATGGACATACCTCATGAACAGCAGATCCAGGGAATGCTTGTATTGCAGCCCTAGGATCAGTAGCAGCATAACAGTACTCTAAAGTTTGCCAATATTCATCAACAGCTTCTTTATTAGACAAGATAAAATCGTGCCTGATCCGTGGACGAAGATCAAGAGATATCATATTGGATGTTACAACTATCGAAAGTGGTTCTTCTATGTAAGGCATAAGCTCCAAAGCATGAGTCAAATTGGTCTGTTGGCCCTCATCTCCCTCATCAACATGTCCATCACTTACTAGCCGAATCAACTACATTATATAACTGACCATTACACAGATAATATCAATGTGTAACAAAATAGAGTTCTAAAGTGCATTAGTAGTAATCACAGCCTATACGAAGAAAAACTAATCCTCAAGCATGATAGGTCAACTCAAATAACTCAAGCAGTCAATATATCCAATCATAATACAACTTGAGTTGAACTTTTTGAAAAAAGCACTTCACAATTCACATGAGCTTGACATAATTAAAATTTCAAATCCAAAGTTGAAAATGCAACTAAATGTCAAATAAGTGTAACTCGTAAAAATCCAATATCATTCCCATCTATACTTTTTCAAGTTGTCTTGCTGTTAACTTTTATAAACTACGCATGTTAATAACCTGTGTTTATAGACAAAATAAACAGGTTACACTCTTCAGCATAAATAATTCAAATAGAACCAGATTAGTTAAATTATGTTTGACATAAAAGTCATCAATATGCAAATGGTTAATTCACATCTGAAACTTTTAGTAGTAAATATGGAGTCAAGTGGAGCTTGCATTCCATTAGAAAATGTCACTTCATTTGACCCTACAATTTGCAATGATCCAATCTAGCTGTTCGATCTCCGCACAATAAACCTGCATGGTCTTTAAGAAAAAATGGCAGTGGCCACCAAGTTCAAACAGACACAGTGGCCGTCACATTGGAATCACAAATCACACCTATAAAACTCAAGTTATTCAAATAAAATAAAGTTAACTTACCTTCAATCGCCGTAACATGTCAATTACCAGTGATAATCTGCCAGTTGCCAGAGTATCCATAAGAAGTTTGTACTCTTCAGCAGGAAGATCAGAAAGACGCAAACCCTTCTTACATTTCTCAATCATATCATCAAATGTCTGAGTAGAACCTGCAACTTGCAAGAACAGTTCAAGTGGAATTGCTTTGACAGCAGCTTCTAGAGAAAACAATTGGTAACTTCTGTGATGATTCCTAGATGATAAAGCATTATCCCAACCAGGTGTGGCACTCAAGTAATCCCAGAGAAAACCATGCAGTAATTTTGCTCTAACCATTTTTGCCAGCACAAATCCATTGGCGCGCATGGCTTCTGATCTAGTAGCCCTGAAATCTGAACCAACATGATTCTGAGTTCTCTGCACATCATTCAATACAGGAACCGATTCATTATTCTTCCATCTAGTAGAAGCCTGGCCATGACTTTGGATTTCAACAGACCTCAGTCTATCATGAATTTCACCAAGTATTTCTGGAGTCAAGCTTTGAACAGAGGGGTGCAGGACCACCAAAGTGCCACGGTTACGACCACAATTTGTTACAACTGGGACATTGATGACCATGCGTCTGCAGAGTCCTTGCTCCTGAAGCTTGCTTAGTATCCGGTCAATGGTCTTCCTATCCATTTTTGTGCTCTTATCCTTTTCAAGACTTAAAAGCCGTCGATATAGCTCAATTCTCAAAATGAACTTCTCATCCTGCACAAGAAATTTGAAACCGTCATTTTTTAAGTATTGAGAAGACAGTTCAATGACAATGCACCAGATTAGAAGCCTTCAAAGATGTGGATTAGCTCAAATACCTGTAACCATTGAAGAATTCTCTGCTCCCTCCGAGCATTATCAGCAGTCAACAGATAAGGGTGATGTGCTCTGGAATTAGGTGGCTTCAATATAGCAGGAGACTTGGTTTCTGTTGGAGCGACATTTTCCATCACTGACTTCATTACATCAAGATCTGCATCGGGATCTGTCTCATTTGCTTCATGCAGTGATTCTTGCAGGTTTTGAGAAGGCAAACATTCCGTTTTACCATCTTGGTTGGAACTATGAGAATTTTCAACATCTAATTCCCCATCATTCACTTTTCCAGGTGCAGATAAATGACACCCTGAAGTTGAATAATCATGGTTGACAAAGACTGAAGTCGGTCCCTCCACAACATCTAGGTAGTCCATATCAATATTAGGACTATTATTCTCAACATTGACATCTTGTGATTTATTATGAAAAGCATTAGACAGTTCAGGATTAGAGTTCCCAGACGTCCAAACTCGAAATGCAGTGGTCTTTCTGTGGCTTTCTGCCTGTAGATGCATCCCAAATCTAGAGAACATGCTGCAAAGCCGAGAATAGTTCCTTTTCTTATCAATTCCAAGCCTCTCACAAACCTGCTCAAAGCAAATGCAAGTGATGACAGTATAAATAGTTGGGAGTACAGCAAAGCCAGTCTTATAGATGAACACTCAACAACAAAGCCCAACAGGATCATGCTAGTGTTATCTATTTCACATAACCCGGCTTGAGCAGGATTAAAGAGGGTCCAATTGCAGATTTTCACTTATAGTAAAATCTGAACATATAGCCAAAAATACCCCAGTCATGCACTCTCAATAATTCATGCAAAAATGAGTTACAGAAATATGCCTATACACCATTGCGCATGCATGTTTGTGTTGGACGCATCCAGTGTCCCAACCTGAGAAAGCTAAGACTACTTTTGAAATAGAGAAAGCTAAGACTACACCATGAAAGTTTTCTCTTTCCATCTGCTACACAGTTTTCAAAACTTCAAATATTTACATACTTATTGGGAACCTCCTAGTAAACACCAAACATTCAGTTTTTCCTTCCCAGTCTTTCAGTTTCGTTGTCTAACAGTAATCATCAGAATTACCACCAGGCATATCTCATGGCACATTTGAACTTCAGTAATTCTGAGTCATAAACTTAAGGTTGAACAAAAATTAAGTATATACATAGGAGCTAGTCATAAAAAAAGGACACCCAGAAAAAAGATCTGGACTTAAAACACAGCTCATGTTTTTACCAAAGGGTCATAACACTCTTTAACAAATAAAACCACAATTTTTGATCCATTATTGTTATGGTCCTGGAATTCAGATCTGGAAACGGGATGATGTGAAGAACTAGGTTTGCGGCTCTTAGAAACATATCAACAGAAGAAATGTTTGTACCTCCATGACAGCCAATCCCTCAGATCCTTCAGCATCAACCATATCATGAATCTGGTGCTCTATTGGAAGCTCTACCAGCTGCTCAGTTCTTCTAAATGTCCTTCCGAATTTCAATTGTTTTTCTGTATCCAGATTATCCCCAGATCCAATGGCAGTAAGCTCAAAATCCTTTGGAGAAAACTTCTTCAACAAACGGAGGCAACGCTCAACCTGCAGAAAGATAGAAATGTATCAAGCCATGACAACATAAAACTCTCAGTACCAAACAAACAGAATTCGACAAAACAGGTATACTGATGAGAATATAAATCGAATTAAAAAAATACCCAGTTACTAAGTTGCCACAAGATATTAAATGCTCTCACCAAAGAAAGCAAAGTAACTATGATATAGTGCATAAGCTTCATCACCAGGAAGACAAACATATAAATTCTATTACCAACTTGCAAATTAGATATAATGAGTCCGCACATAACCAAAGATTGGGCAGCTTTTTCAAATAACCAAACAATCCTTATTCTTTTTTGTAAAAACATACCTGTACAACACATGGATTAAAGTGAAACATAGTTAACATGTGCTGACTCCACAAAAACACCTGCAAAAATTTTCTACCACTAGAAACTGTATCTTAAGTTAGGAATTTTCCTTTATATAGTCAAAGAAAAGAAAACCAAAGAACAAGCATACCCTAACAACCGAAAACCTCCTTAGGCCTAGAAATACCATAATGCCAAGACAAGATGACTGATGACAAAACATCATCATTTTAGGGACTTCTTCTGAATAAACATCTCTTTGAATATGAACCACACCTCAACACTTTTTGTTCTTCAAAAAGTTAAAATCACCCTCTTCGCCTTTCCGTATTTATATATAAAATGAATACTTTGGAATAAGGAATAAATCACAATGTCAACCAAAAACATAATCAGAAGAAAATGTTCCTTCATTCACCTTCTCATTCACAACAGCATCAAACTCTTCAACTATCTGAGCATCTTTCAACCGGCGACATATCTGAGACCATGGCATGCAGAAACAATATAGTTAAACATTATGAAACGAAGAAGGGAGGTCATAGACGTACAGCAGACCAACACTTTAAATCATCAAGAGTGACAATATTATATGCCAAATTTCCCTCTTTATCTCATTCATTTTCGGCAAAATTTCTTTTTTCTCAACACAAACATGAAAAAGATAAAGACTTCAAAAGTGGAAAAAGTTGGCATCGGAGATTAACTTATCTGAAGTCCAAGTAAGAAGGCAGTCAAATCTAAAAAATGAGCTCGACATAGTGATGTCACAACAGAAGTGAAAATGGAGGCAGAAGGTGAGAATTATGTGGGTTTTTCAGAAAAAAAATAAAAGATTAAACATAATCAATAGTATCAAGATGGTGCAATCTGCAAACGATCTTTACATACGTATCAAAATGCCTATAAGGTCCCTAAGATCATTGCTAGAATAAAGCAAGTGACCCCTTAGTAAAAACTTTA